TGTCACAGAACGATGAAATTTCACAAGATTTTGAAAGTAAAATAGATCGATACCGCATTTTTAAAAATTAATTTGATATCAGCATATGAAAATATATTTGAGTATATTATTTTCCAAAGTGTCAGAAATGGATAATGAATCTGTTATATTCAATGACTACTTATTTTTGTCCAGCTTTAACATCGGTATTGTTATCGGTTATCGGCTACATGAGCTTTAAAATATCGGCCAAAATCCCAACATCGTGCATCCCTAGTTTAAACTCATAATCCAAGCTTTTACAATTATAAAGGAAACTAACTTGCCTTACTGGGGCTCTACCTTTCTCATTCCTCATCTAAGATTCTCAGTAATCCTGAGCTATTTTACATATTTATGCTGCTACATATTAAGGCTGCTGGATGACATAGAGACCACTTTTCATCATTCTGCTTCATTTTATCTCTACTCTCCCATTCAGCAGTATTTGTTAAGTTCTCTCTGCTTTTTCCAGTCATTGTAGTTTCATCTCATCTGTTGCTGTTCAGCTGTGACATTTGATTGACTTGGACTTAAATATCAGTGGTGCCGCCAGTATCAAAATTCCTGGTTCTCTGACTGTGACTAACTATATAAGCTCTTTTTCATCCTCTGACAGAGGAGCTGACTTTGAGCTCATCTGCTTGACTGTGTCTTTCCCATGATGGGGTCGCCTGTAGAGCTGATTGACAGTTACCTTTTGTATCTCTGCTTCTTTCTGTATGTCTGCTTCTGTCTCCTCAAAACCCAGACAGGCAACCCTCAGCAGATGCCCGCTAACACTGAGTCTGGTTCTGCTCCTGTTAAAAGTGATTTCTTTCCTCTCCACTGTTGCTGCATGCATGCTCGATGTGAGGGGTTGCTGAAGAATCAACAGCAAAATGCAAGTAAAAAATCGTCTCTGCAAGCTCATCCAGGAGGAGCATGTCTTGCAGGTCAATGGCTCGATGCAATAAAATAGTTTTCCTTAACAGAAACTTTTAACCAGTCTGACTGTATGATCTGGTTGAATTGTCTCTGTAAAATGTTTTGAGATGACATGTGTTGCAAATTGGTGCTATATAAATAAACTGTGTTAAATTGAACTATCCAAGTCGTCATCTGGGAAAACTGGAAAAATATAGCAACAATGGAATCCTACTAAGAGATGAATGTCCACCTAAACTGACCAGGAGAGCATTGAAGAAAACCAAAAGAAGTCCTGTTTGCAGGAGGTTAAGAAGGAGGCGACAAACACGTAGAATAACAGGCTCTGCTCAGACATAAGTTAAATTAAACATATCATACAACCAGAAGGCACACTTTTACTTCTCAGGTTTTTCAAAACAGCTGTATATGGCTCCTTAGGCCCTATGAGTGGCACCCTGATAATCATTTTGCTTTGTTACTCCTGCTGAAGCCAAATTGTTGACGCACAAAACTCATTTCTGCTCTTGGCTTTAGAGACATGCTGGCCTCGGTTGTTGTCAGATTTAAAAGGCATACGTGATGATCTGATTTGCCTGCAGCAGCTTAATGTACCAGCAGGTTTGGTGTTTGAGGAAGGCGGTGTTGTTGCCGTTTGTTTGTAGTAAGTAAATCCAACAGACTGCAAGGGTGGGGTGGCAGTTAACTAAAGTAATCAATCCCTTTTCCCACACATACACACCAGCCGACACACACACACTAATTAATCCCTGTATCCCAATAAAACCCAATCCACAGGTAAAATCAAAGTTTTATTTTTGTTTTTCTGGAGTTAGCAATCCCTGTGCTGATTGCTGAGAGCTTTTCTAACTTTCCTTTCCTGCTGCTTTCTAGTCCACCATCAGGCCCTGAGTCTGGATTTGCATGGCGTTCCAGGTGTGTTATTTGACTGCAGGATAACTCTGGTCACGCAACAGATTTTCACCTGACTTAACACTCCTGTAATAACTCCTCATCCTGTTTTGGGATGAAAAAGTGGCGCGAAAAAAACAAAAAAACAAAACAAACAAGTTGGACATGTGTGGTTGTGAAAGTGTGATTACTTTGCATACAGTTTCAAAAAGAAAAGAAAAGATTTTCCAACACAGCACCATTTTTTTTTTTTCAGATCGTTTATTATTCCCGACAACCTGAGTCATTCCAATGGAATATTATCACAGAAATGTAACCTGAGTTTTTCCCATTTTTCCCTATGTACACTGACCTGTTTAAAGACGTATTCTTATATATTACATTTCAGTTTGTCTTCAAGACTTCCACCATGCAAGATACTTAGAGACAGCTTTTTGTTTTTATAGAAATCTAATATGTACAAACATTCAAGCTCGCCTTCACTTCATGCCATGCTGACTCTCATGGTGCCTGCGCAGATCCACCTTTCTCTGGAAGCCCTTTGAGCAAATATCGCACCCAAATGGTTTGAATCCTGTGTGCTTCCTGCTGTGGGTAATCAGGTTGGAGCTCTGACTGAACGCCTTGCCGCAAACTTGGCACTTGTGAGGCTTTTCACCTGTGGAATTAAAAGAGAAAATTAAATTACAGAGCTAATTGTATGATTTTTACAACTGGCAGCTAAATCAGAGTTGCCATTGATAAAATCAACATCACATGTTTTTACCTCAAGTTCCTATTAGTAACCAATCCTAAAGAGTCGTGCCGTTGTTCAGATTTGTCAAACCCATGCTGTCAATAAATGCCAGCTAAACAGGCTTTCTTTTGTAGAACTCAGTGCGAAGCAGGAAAACCAGGCATGCAAATTGACTGGATATTTGCTTAAGCTTCATTTTCTGATTTATCAGTAGTGATATTACCCCTAGAAACAATTCCTCCATGCTGCACCTGGAAAGTGGCTGATGGGGGAGTTTTTGGATAAGCCTCAAACTGTAAATCAAATGAAAATTGTTCTAGAAATTCTAGTTTCTTTTGTTTTCATGTTTTGTCGTTCTTATTCATTTTAGAATAAATTGTGACATCATATAAGATTATTACAATTAAATAACAAAGGAGTTTCATAATGATTAATGCACTTATTTACCTGGAAATTTTAATGTGATTAAATATAATGAAGTTCAATTTCACAAGCAAGAGCTAGGCTCTGGCCCCTCCTCTAAAATAACTGAAACGGAATCGATCTCAAAAGCAACACATAGATTTGACGGTTAGATTATTTGATTTCTGTGGCCTGGAAAGGGTTTAAAAGGCCTTTCAAGCTTGCAGGAGCTAAACGAACCACATTAAGTGAGCAAAACTTATTCAGAAAAAGGAGAAAACATGGAGGAGTTGTCAACATTCCAAGGAGTGACTGACCTACCAAAAATTATTGCAAAATATTAGACATAACTAAACCAGGAAAAAGCCTAAAACATATATTAAAGATAAACATTGATGTAAATATATATATATATGAAATATATATATGATGTGAATATATACATTACTGTAACCATAATTTAACCTCTGCTTTTATTAGAGACTCCTTAATGAGAACGTCTGGCCATTGCCTGAGTTAAGCAGCAGGATGATAATCCAAACCAAACAAAACCAGCAAGGGAATTTTGTATGGCGAAGAAAATGGAAAGACTTTGGAATGATCAGCTTCTGAACCAGGAAATATGAAGCCAAACATGAAGCCAAACATGTCCTAAACTGTTGGTTGATTATACTGTATAAACATTTCCACAAACCACGGAAGTAATAATATTTCAAACAAAATTGACAGCAAAAGTAGTCGGTTTTGTGGCTTTGTAAGTTATGCTTTTGTATCTTTTAGCATTTTAACATAAAGGTTTATTGTTTTGTTTCTCACAAACTCAAATCAATGCAAGAACTTGTTAGTTTGGATTAATTTTTGCCTGCTTGACCAAAATAACTCCATATTTGGGGATTGATTATTGTGTTTATGCTGCTTTTCTTAAGATTTGTTTGATCTAAAAAGCTTAAGTTTGACAAAAAAACATTAAAACAGCAGAAATCTCTCAGTGAGCAAACAGTTCCACCGTTGGAGCTCAGTTACTTAGCTGCAGTTGGGAAGGAAAATAAATTTTGCAAATTTTTATGAACCTTAAATTTCTATGTTATGTAGAACAATTAAAATTTAAAATAATTTTAAATGGTGAAGTATTCATTAACAATCCAGGTATGAATATGAGTGGAAGTAGGTAACCTTCAAAGAACCCCAGCACTGTAAATGATCTTTAAAAAGGAATAACTTTCCCTATTTATTGCTATAGGAAAACAGTATTTTTAAATTGTTAAGATTTCAAAATAATATGACATGGTAATATATAAACACTTTAATATCTGTAAAGAGCTGATATGTAACTGGCTGACGTGGCACAAAGAGTTTAGAAGCAGGTTGGGACTAAAGCGATGTATGGAAGTTGAAAGTTTGGAAGATCTCCATTATCCTGATAATTACCTGTGTGGATGTACGTGTGCTTCTTCATGTCTGACTTCTGGTGGAACCTTTTCCCGCAGTACTGGCAGGGATAGGGTCTGGTGTCTGAGTGGATGAGCAGGTGCGTTGACAGAGTGGAGGAGCGTTTGAAGGATTTGCCGCACATCTTGCACTCAAAACTTTTTTCCTAGAAAAGAAAGGTTAAAGGTCAGCAATCAGAAAAAAATAAAAAATCTAAGCAAAAGTGTGCTCTTTTTATTCCATTGAATATTTTACTCAAATTCAATATAGATTTTTAGTAAGGTTTTTTAATGTTTCTTGATCATAATGGAACATCTGAAAACAACATTAGGCAGGTTTTATATAAATGATCTACAAAGAAAAGCCAAATATGTCTTGTTTAAATGTCTCCAACACTGTTTGCCTAAAATCATTACGTTTTACATCCTAAAAATCCTGTCAATATATGACTCACTGCTGAAGAAACTTTACCTCTTTGATTGGAAATCAGAAAAATGTTACAGCAACTTAATTAACCCAACCAATTCAACTAAACAGTTAAAAAGAACAAAAAACTAAACCAAATATGGGTCTAGATTTTTCTCCCATTGCAAATATAAACAGTCACATGAGATATTGCCCTTGCTGTGCCATGTGTTTCAGTACGGAGGGCCAAAAAGGACTAAATTAACTATATAATGGAATGTACCATATGTTTACTTAATAAATCATTAAATAATAAAATATAGCATAAACAGTTAGATGTAGAATTTAAACGATTAGATGAGGAATTAAATGTATTTTTTTAAACAAATTCATTTGAAAATACATAAAATATTTTTTTTCCGTATTCATTTATTTAATTTATCCTCTTTTGTGTTTTTCATATTTTTTTTCATTACATTATTATATATTATTATTGTACTTTTGTATAGCTGTGTTCCTTTTTATATTATAGACAACGATTTCTGGAATAAAATCCATCCATCTAAATGTAGTGGGCGGGGCTAACACTAATCTGGTGAAACTCATTGGTTTACTACATTGATGTCTAAACATGCCTCCTCTCAGGAACTCAATGAGCTGCCTAATGGAAATTTTAACGTTTCCTGTTCACAATTAAATTTGGATTTTGTCCATTTTAGACACAATATCAATTTACAACTATAATATTGTGTTTAAATATACATTAAAGCTCTTTAAAATGACTGAGGGTCCCTGTAGGTCTTTGCATTATAGGCTAATTTGTTTAAACAACAAATAAACAGTTTCCTAACATATGTATGCCTGTTGGCCCCTTACTTAAGGAGATACCATAGATTTGATTGATCTGTTTTATACTCAATGTTACAGTAGAGTTTTTTTCTGATCTGGGAAAAAAAAAGTATGAATAAAAGTTAGAATGAAATATGAGCACCGAGACAGAAATAACAGGCATCAACGCTTCTCATTGGTCATAAAAAGAATCAGATTGTGCTTTTGTTTACCTGAGAGTGAACGTTCATGTGCTGCTCCAGACTGACAGCGTGGCCAAAGGTTTTCCTGCAGATACTGCAGCCGAAGGGCCGCATTCCACTGTGCGACCTCCTGACATGAACCTCCAGTCCATGAGGTGTCGAGAACACCTGAATGAGAAGGTGTGTGATTTACTTTACTTAGCATTTAAAAAACAACAACAAAAAGAGCGGTTTTCAAATATTAATTTTGTTTATAGAGGGAAAATCAACCAGAACCTTGTTTGGACATAATTTCAATTGGATAAGCTACTTTGTTTTTATACTGCTTTGTTTTTCTTATAAAAAAAAATAAATAAATAAATATAAAATAAACCAGCTGAATGAATCACCTAAAAATTAATTGTGTGAGATTTTTCATCCTTGAAAAACTGCAATATGAATTCATGACAAGAGTAGGACAATGATTTGCATAACACACACACACACACGAGTAATTGAGAAATGGCTCAAGAAAACAAAACAAAAAAAGGTTTTAAATTGGCCTAGTCAAAGTCTAGAATCAATTACACTTGGGATGATGTTACATAGACTGAGCAAAAGGTCCAGGAAATCAGGTCCATTCTGCAAAGCAGAAAGGACTGTAAGTCCTCCACGTTGATGTGAAACCATCTGTACCTCTAAACCAAATGTTTGATGTCAGTTATTACACAGTAAATTCCACAGTGTTAAATATGCAATGTCAAATTACATGGACTCTGTTAGAGTTATTACAACAACAACTGGAGTAAAATATACACTTTGTAGAGTTCTAATTTAACACTAATTCCAAGTAGGACCAAATGCACTCTTAAAGTGTAATACTTCAAATTTTACTGTTTAGGAAGATTGGCAAAAAAAAAACTTGTTAGATTTACTTTTCATAAATGATGACATTGGTTTGAATTTATTATTTTATAAATCAGATGAAATTGTAATTTAAACTCTGATTTTAATATTGTGATCTTTATTTGATTAAAAAAACTCCTACAAAATTAAGCAGGTCAACACTGTTCCACATGACTGTATTTGATTTGATTTAAAAAGGATGTATTTTAACCCAAAGATGCACGCTGCATTTTTTAGAAAAGCGGTCTTGTTGCCTACTTTATCACAGGTGATGCAGTGGTAGGTGCTGGAGGTGGGGGAGTAGTGCCTGCTGCAGTCCAGGGGCTGCTGTGGGGGTGGACTGCGGCTTATGTGGCCGCCGTACAGGCTGCTGGCATGCTGCAGGACCGTGGGGCTAAAACTCAGCTGCCGGAGCTCATAGGAGGAGGACACTGGCTCCCAGGCATAAGAAGGCTTGTAGTAAGGTGGAAACTCAGCCATGTGAGGCTCTAAAAAAAGAGAGAACATGCTTAATGCTCTGCTTTGAAGTCTAATGTACACATTGTCTGCTTTAATACTAACCTGTAAGGTAGTAGGGCTGTGAGGGGGGCACTGATGGGCTGGTTGGCTCTGGATGACCAGGTAAGGGACACTGAGGCTCTGAATCCTCCTGCTGAGGAGAGCAATGGTCTGAGGGGGACCGCCCCTCAGAAAGGGGCCCCTCTAATGATTGTGGGTTTTGAACCTTGGATGGAACCTCTGATAAAAACACAAGAAATAAAATTCGGATTCATGCAAACTAAAAAAATTTTTCTCTTGAATAAAATAAAAACAATAAAAACAACTCCAGCTCTTTTTATTATTATTATTTAAACTGTTTAATTAAAGCTTATTACATTAAATGATCAAAATATCTGCTTTTATTTTTGATTATTGAGCTATTATTAATTCTTTCAGGTATTAAGATAAAGTCTTACCAGCATCTTCTGAGGTGGTAGGATCTTCTACATAGGTGCGATGAATGTTATATGAGGCGCACCTTTTGTTTTTCACCAGAAATGACCGTGGCATGTTGATTCTGCGACGAAAAAACATTAATAATATATTACATCTGTTTTAAGTTAAAGGATATAATAGATTATCTTAAAATTTAGTATATGAATAAATAGCTAAGCATATTAAATTAAATATTCTTGAAAATTTAACTACGGTTTAAGCATTTTAAAAGTTATTTTATTGTCAGATCAATTGTTTTATTGTTAGATCTCTGTGATGCTTTCTATTAAATTGATCCATAATTTAAAAGAAAGGTGTTACAGGTGTCATCAACTCACCGTTAGCTGAGCAATGTCCTCTCCTAAATAAATGAAAATAAGAACTTTATTCCCTGTTGATTCAGTCAGATCCAAAACGCCATGCAAGGGAATAAGGAGAAAGAAATCCGTTCCTTAAAAGTTGGAGAAGTAAAGCAGAGTAAGAAGCATCATCAGACTCACTGTTCGCTCTTTTTCTCTCCTCCCTGATTTTCAATCAGATAACTTCGCAGGGGAATCTGACTGTGGTTTCAGCCAATGAAAAGGCCAAGCTGCAGTTGGAAATTTGCTTAGAAAAACAGCGGCCTTCGGAACAGTTATACAAAACAGCTGAAGGGGGGGAGAAGATCTGAGGAAATGCATCCTGAAAAAAAAAATGTTACAAAACGTTCAAATTTGGTTTTAAAAATGCAAATTAAAACAATGCTTATACATTTTAATTTTTTTAAATGCAGAAAAAAAAAAACCCCAGCAAAGATGAATTCAATTAAAAGAAAACTTAACTCTCTTTGTTTGGTTTACAGGATTTAACAAAGTAAAGTTGTGTGTAAGATTTAAGAGTCTAAAGACTCCACATATACGTGGCTTAAGCACCTCCAAAGATATATACACACAGAAACCAGTCCGGGAGATTAACGAGACCTCAGTGGCCCTCTGCTGTCTAAGCACACACCTGAGTGACTGCACAGGTGCTGGTTACACAAAGACAGGTTATTTAATGTCAAGAGAAGTTGATTTTCATCATCATCATCATCATCATCATCATCATCATCATCATCATCATCATCATCATCATCATCATCATCATCATATTAAAGAAAGAGTTTCATTGAAAGGAAAATTAAGCTGGAATGCAAGAAAATTAAGTTGGAATGCAAGGGCGCCATCTGGTGGAGAACTTGCGGAATAGGCTTCGTTGCTTCGACTTTTTTTTTATTTTAGTCAAATAAAAATTTAAAAAAAGATATAGTTTGTGCTATGTGGGCCTAATATGTTAGTGTAACTTGTCCTTTAAGTACCTGAGTGGAAATTATGTATATGTGGATTCTAGAGGTCAATATTAGGGCACTCTTCTTTCCAAAAAAAAAATTAAAATTAAAAACAGTCCACTGGACTTGGTTTCCAAGTTTGAAGATGTTTCGCTTCCCATTCAGGAAGCTTTTTCAATTCAAAATGTCAGGAATAACATTGAGTTCAAGGTTTTATACAGTAGCCCAACAAAGCCTTGTTTTGTTTTGAAAACATGCAAATTGGAACAGGTGAAGGGGTCCATTTGGAATGGGGGTCATTTGGCTTCTTTTGTTAGACTGCGTTACCCCATACTCATTTAAGTGTCTCTCTTCTTTAAAGACTCCCTGTAACCTTTTTTTTTTTTTGGCTAAAATAGCTATATTTAAGTATTTACTGCAGTTATCTCTCAATCTTTGACATTAGATGAAAGCCCTCCCCATTTCTTTTGAGGGATTCTTGAATCTTGACATTGACAGTATAGCTACTCACCTTAACTGTACATGAGCATCAGCTTACAGGACAACATTCAGTGCAATCCCACAAAAGACATGTAGAGGTATGTTAATAATGAAAACAAAATTTGTGCTAGAAGTTAATGCTTTGTCCCACACATATTGAAACATACTGGTGGCAATATCATACTGTGGTGTTGATTTTCTTGTTCAAATTAAAAAAGAAATGGGTAGAAAGAAAATAATGAAATAAACCCATCAATACTTCAGATCAACTGATATTTTTGTGTAAGAAAGGCCTAGTCAGGTGTCTAAAGGAAACTTTTACAGATAAATTCTCACATGATAAGTCACATTTTACTTAAACTGAGCAATTTTGCAAAGAGGATTGGACCAGATCTTCAGTACCTTGGTTTTTAAAAGGTGATAGAGACACCCTGTAAAAAAATACTGGCAACTGCAACCATAACTGAAGTTAGTACTCATAGGTTAATCTTAGCCAAATTTTAACCCGTCAGTATCAGTCCAGTATGTAAAACTGGGTTGATAATGTTAACCTATGTATATTTCCAACGTGTTGCCATTTGTGTGATTCAGTAGGAAAAGAAAAGGGGGTTTCCATTTGGCATCAACATTGGCCCAAGTTTTTTATATTGATTTAAATCCTTAGTATCTATTCAGTGTGTTTGTATATAAATCCCAACAACACATTTTACAGCAATTTACACAAATACAGGAATCTGTGTCAATCTGTCTCATAATTTTCTAGTCAAATTAATAACGGATTAATAATTTCCCCCCAATCTGCCAATGTGGCAGAATCTAATTATTTGTTTTATTTGTTAGTGGAAATTAACATAATTTTGGATTCAGTTTTATTTTAGAGTAAGTTCTATTTTGAAGCAACATATTCAACGTTGAGTTTTAAACTATAACTCAAATTATCCCCTATCACGTCAACACAGTTTCCATTCCTGAGAATACAGAAGAGGATTATGGCCACTGAAAAATATATATTATTTAACTGATTTTCAAATTTTATTTCAGTTTAATATGGGAAAATGTCAGAATTCTGACTTTTTTCTCAGAATTCTGCCTTTAATCTCAGAATTGTGACTTTTTTTCTCAGAATTATCTCAGAATTCTGACTTTTTTCTGAGAATTCTGCTTTTAATTTCAGAATTAATCGCAGAATTCTGACTTTTTTCTCAGAATTCTGCCTTTAATCTTAGAATTATGCCTTTTTTTCTCTTAGAATTCTTACTTTAATCTCGGAATTCTTACTTGTTTCCATATTAAACTGAAATGCAATTTAAAAGTCAGTTGATTTTTTTATTTATTTTTTTCAGTGGCCCTAATCCTCTTCTGTAAGAAACATTTCTGTCGAATCAAATTCAATTTGGTTAAAAGAAAGAAGAGCTAAATTGCGCGTGCGCTCTTTACATGTGGGTCACGCGAAACCGCATTACACACAGTTCAGCCCTCCACCAGCAGCGATGGGAAAACAAACTTTAGCTAACAGCTAGAGATAAGAATCTGTCAGTTATTATCGTGGAAATACAAGCCGAGTGTCGATTAAGATGCCATTTAGGAGCTGTCTTTCAGAGGGGCTGGTGAAAAAGTGGAGTCAGTGAGACGCTCCAAGTTGCGGGATTAGTTTTCTCGCAGCCTGACAGCGGAGGCGGACTGCGGTGGGATGGGCTGTGAGCTGTTCAAGATGGCGGCGCCCTGTGGAGTCAATCTACTCTAACAGGTAAACAGCTCCACTTATTTGTTAATAATCCTCTTTAATTTAAGCGAATTCGTGCTCAGATGATATTTTGTGTTAAACTTGAGCTGACCTGCCAGTTCTAACCCGGACCGAACCGGAGTGACATGAAGAATAAATGTTCCTCTGAGTGTGGGTCGCTGCTCCCAGCTAACGTTAGCTGTCGGCGATGGGGTTGACTTGTGTTTTTTTTCTTCCCCTACTGGACAGACCCGATGATGGGGAGAGTTGATGTTTCAGAGATTGCATCATATTTTTAGGCCGTTTTTATGATTATTGCGTCAACCCGCTGATCGGTGTGCCACAGAAAAGAAGTGTTTAGGCTTTTAGAAGCGGGTAAAGTGAAGCCATTCCTCCCCATTGTTCTCTGCGAGTTGTTTACGACAAACAGCAGCAGCCAGTGGTCAGTCTGCAAGCAGCCGCTGCTCCTCTAATGGCTGAACCGTTTTTTCAGTTAATGGATCTTAACGCATAGATTCATCTTAAACAAGCCTTCAGCTAATAATCAGCATGTTAAATCCATCATTTCTGAGGAGATGTTTTGCTAGACTTCTACATGCAGACAACAGTGTCCTGCAGAAGCATTCAGGGTGCAAGCTCAAGATTCATTTTTTGAGTTTGGATCCTAAATGATAGATCGTCACAAAATAGGGTTTAATAGTGAAGTGGAAGGGAAATCACACATGTAAGTGATTCGGGGTGTGTCTCTAGCTCCTTTGCTTATTTAGAGACAAACATGTTTACCTCTGTTCTTTGAATGGTGACTCCAGGGCCTCTGATTGGATGTAGAACTATGTGAAATTAAACATTTCTATGTGTCAATTAGGGGTGTAAATCAGACCCATTATGGTGATTCCATTCAATATCAATTTCCAGACCAAACGATTAGATTATTTTTTTATACTCAAGAATACACCACGATTCGATTCATTGGTAATTATTTTTATTTTTTTTCCCCTTACAGGCTAGACAATGTTTCAAATTTGAAATTAATCAATGAAAGCTGGAATATTGTTGTGCGTTTTATTTGAGAAAAAACAGCAAACAGAAGAAGCGAAGTTGTACTCCACCTAGGGTCAGGGGTTGGCAACCCAAACTGCTCAAAGAGCCATATTGGACCAAAAAAACAAAAAATAAATCTGTCTGGAGCTGCAAAAATGTAAGTCTTATGTATATTATGTATTATCCCACTATAAAAAAAAGGAATATGTGGGCTTAAATATATAATAAGCATTCATCATTAAATGTTTATCCGGGAGCAAATGTCACATAGTAGCAAGAGGTGATGGATGAGCATCGTGTGTCCCTTCAACGTGCGGTTTAGGTTTTGTTGCATTGATGAAATTATAGAAACACAATAAAGGAATCTTTCTATGGTGGACGTGTTTCTGTTGGGAGGAGTCGATTGAGTCATGAGGAACCAAGCAGGAACTGACATCCATCAGAGCAGAGGTCTCTAACCCTGAAATTCCGCATCCTTCGTCACCATTGTTCCTTGGTGTGATTTAGATTTTTAGGATTTGGGGAAAAAAATGGAAGAAAGTTCCCATACCTGCATCAGATCGCTGCCTGTTTGATCTGTGAGCGGTTTTCCATCCTTGCAACAAAACTAGCAGCAGTAGTGGAGTTTGGAGATGCAATCCACTTTGCTCTCCTCTAATTTATCCAGTTCTGCAATCGCACTTTTTCTCTCCCTCCTTCTTGGTGGTCGGCTGCATATTTAGCTTTCCCTGGAAATGCCTTTCCAAATTTGTATTTTTATTTTTTGACAACCTCTCATTACAAAGCATAAATGCAGGCAATCCTTCCGCACTGATAATGAAAGCAAATGATTCAGTCCATTCTTTGAATCCTCTTTTCTCAGCAGCTATCTTCCTTTTTTCCCCTTGGGATCCATGGTCTGAGTCACACCTGCAGCTTTGCTCGCCTGGCACGGCGCCACGCTGGT